CATAGAAGGACAACTTACCTTCTGTAACCATTTTTATAATAATCACACACACACTCGTTCATAGAGGGACAACTTACCTTCTGTAACCATTTTTATAATAATCACACACACACTCGTTCATAGAGGGACAACTTACCTTCCTGTAACATTTTTATAACAATCACAACACACTCGTTCATAGAGGGACAACTTACCTTCTGTAAACATTTTTATAATAATCACACACACTAGTTCATAGAGGGACAACTTACATTCTGTAAACATTTTTATAATAATCACACACACACTCGTTCATAGAAGGACAACTTACCTTCCGTTCCACTGATGCACAATACCCGGTCTCTTACTCCAACGTTATAGTTCTCAAACCACATAAAAACCCCATGTGGGTCGTACTTCCCTCTTGGGTAGTAAACTTTGGAGTAGCTATGTTGCCATTCGAAACGTTCTTCACCATCGTGCTTTACAACCTTCCCGTAAACCTCAAAGTACTCGTGCAAGAATGAAAAGGGGACATAAACTTCACCATCCTCCTGCTTACACGGTACGGTGTATTTTTCGTTAATAAGACAATCAATGTCATCAAGGTTCTTCAATCCACCTCGCGTACGAACCCGAGGAACTTCTTCCAGAGCTAGAGGGCCAACGCCATCTTCCAAGTAGTTGTCATCGTTCGATTCTATATTATAGAGGTTACCTTTAACGTCAGCGCTGGGAATGTCTCCACATCGAATCCAGTAAGTTAAAGTTGTAGCAGTCACGAAAACAATGAGGACAGCCAGTAAAGCTCGAAGGTTTACTCGCATCCTCATTGGACCGCTGAGGCTGTGTGTAAAGGGAAAAAAAAAAAGTTTAATTTTTTCCCACATAAATATATAAATATGTATTGCACTTTTTCACTGCTTACAAATTGCTAGAGACAAGGTGAAAGTTTATGAATTAATAAGCTTGTTTTGTTTTTAAATACATACCAGTCGTTAGTCAGTATTGCTACGTAAAACAAATTTTTTACTAGATGTACTTCCGCAGGGTCCCTGAAAGTGTCCTGTTTCAAGAACAAATAAAACCAAAATTAAGAGTAACAAATATCTTTATTTGTTGCTTTTGAAGTACATATGTCATGCTCTGATGTAGCCTACAGTGATTCTTCTCGTGATTCATGGCATGCGCACGTTTTACCGATGTGACGACAGTGCAAATTGCAACGTTAAGCGTCCCTTATGTGACGTAATTTTAGTATCGACTGACTGACTGACAACACTACTTTAGTGGTTCTAGTGCTTAGAATAGGTAACCCCTCCAGTCAGCCTTTGGCCCTATTTTGGGTAAATTAAGCGAGTTTATTTTAAAGGGCTGCACATGCAAGTTAACTAATTATTTATTAGTCTACTTTTGCATTTTATTAGCCCTTGGTATTTTTTCTTCTAAGATCACTCTTTAAAAAGTTATAAATGGTATATTTTAAAATTCACGCAAAAAAAAGTCATATCCAAAATATAATGGATTAGTGATGGGATCTTTTTGAAAAGACTTTTCTTTCAGGGTGTTGAAATTCCAGTATATGTAACGTTTCTCGTGTTGGTCTCCTTCGAGAAAATAACTAAGCGTGGTTCAACTGATAAGCCACAATCGATGACGGGGAACCCACTTTGAGACTAATAATGCTTGGAGACAGCTTGAATGGGTAATGAAGAAAAACTTTAATACAAGTTGAACATAACAGCAAATGTACAACGTTTCATACCTGATGATGACAGAACCTTGTCGAAACGTTGTA